AGTCTAGCCTCTATGTATATCTTTGAGTGAGACATTTCAAGTCTCAAATGAATTTGAGTAGTTTGTGGTTTGGAGTATTGCCTTAGTAGTGTGTAATGTGAACTAAGCATTACAATATGTCTATTACAGTAACTTTGTATATTTGCTAAGGCATGTACGACACGCTTTATGAATACCTGTTTTAATTACTGCATTTATTTAAGTCAGAGGTCTCCAAACTTGGCAACTTTAAGACTTGTGGACTTCAACTCCCAGAATTCTCCAGCCAGCTATGAGTTGAAGTCCACAAGTCTTAAAGTTGCCAAGTTTGGGGACCCCTGACTCAAGTGGTGTGAGCCCAGCCATTAAGTTTCACCTTCCTATTTCTTCAGGGGGAGCTGAGTGATGGCATTGCCATGCTAGTGGCAGGGAATGACCGTATCCAAGCCATCATCACCCAGATGGAAGAGATCTGTAAAACTATTGAGGTGAGCATAAAATCATTCAATTTATTTTTGGGGATGCTCTCAAGTGATGTTTATTTCTGCAGGATATGCCAATACAGGTAATCCTTGACTTACAACTATTCACTTAATGACTGTTCAAAGTTACAGTGGCGCTGAAAAAGTGATTTATGACTGGTTATCACATTTACTACTGTGGCAGCATCCCCATGGCTACATGGTCAAAATTCAGGTGATTGGCAACTGGTATTATTTATTCACTTAACAACTGCAGCACTTTGCTTAACAATTTGGCAAACAAATATTGAAAAATGGAATGCAACTTACTTAACAACTACCTTGTTTAGCAATGAAAATGTTGGACTCAACTGTGCTTGTAAACTGAGGGCCACATGTAAGCTTCCTTCTTTCTCCTATATGAAAGTTGGAGAAAAGTTGGAGCCTTCTGGGAGCAAATAAGAGGAAAAGCAGGGAAATATACAGTACTTATTGATCTCATTATGCCATTTAGTTGACTTTAACCTGTGGTGGAAATAGTACTTTTAAAATAGTAGTTCATGTATTCTGTCCCTGGCAGGATAATGCTCGGCGACAGAAGCAGCATCTTTGTCTGCGCTTTGACTCTTTGTACAGCATCCTGGAGGAACGCAAGAAAGAGCTGTTGCAAGAAATCGGACGAGAGCAAGAGGAAAAAGTCCAAAGGGTGCGGGGGCTCATCCGGCAATATGGAGACCACCTTGAGGTCTCCTCTAAGCTGGTTGAGTCAGCCATCCAATCCATGGAGGAACCCCAGATGGCCCTCTATCTGCAGGTGCATACAGGTGTGACAGGACAGGGTGGGGGAACAGGGTCATCCTGGAGCCAGTTTAAATCAATCAGCAAGAAGCAGGATATACTGTCCGCTTTCTTAAGGATGGACAGGTAAGGGGAGGGGAGAAGCAGGACCCCATTTGCAATTTGGAAGATTCAGTGGTTTAAAACTTGGGGATATAGAGCTGCGGTGGCTCAGCAGTTTGAATGCAGTACTGCAGGCTACTTCTGTTGACTGCGGCTGCCTGCAATTTGGCAGATCGAATATCACCAGGCTCAAGGTTGACTCAGCCTTCCATCCTCCCGAAGTGGGTAAAATGAGGACCCAGCTTGTTGGGGGCAATAGGCTGGCTCTGTAAAACTGCTTAAAGAGGGCTCTAAAGCACTGTAAAACGGCATATAAATCTAAGTGCTAAGTTGTTTTCTGCTTTGTTGATGCTGAAGATTCTCTCTTTCTTTCCTGCAGCAGTCAAAGGAGCTGATCAAAAAGTGAGTAGAAGCAACAGGAGCAAAGGTCCAGGCCCTGAGCCTTAGTATCAGCCTTCAGTGGCCCAATTGGCACTCAAGAGCAGCAGCATTCGAGATATCAGAGATCCACTTTTTTGTTTATTTTTTATTTTATTCAGAAGATTAAAATAGAAAATACAAAAGAAAAAAAGGTTAACAAAGACAAAACAAAACTAGACAACTTTTTTTTTAAAGGGAATTAAATGGACAAGAAAACAAAACTACATATTATCCCCTCCTAGTTGTACACTGACAAATATATTGCAACAAAAATAGTTTTCCCTCTTGCGAAACAGGTCCATGATTTATAAACTTCTGCAGCTATTTACAACCCAATCTGATGTGTCATACATTATGTACATGAAGAAAAAATAGTTAACAGGTTAATCAACAGCAAAGTTAATCAGAGATTCACTTCTAATTTATGCATACTCTGTTCTTTGATCCAGTTAGGCTGGTGTCTGTCTCTCCAAAATGCACAAATTTGTGATTTGTTATTTTAGGCTCACTGTAATCTTTCTTTCCTTCTTGAACAACTACAGCAGTGGGATTCTTTCTGGATTCAGGATTACAGCCAGTGCTGTAGATTTTTCAGGTTGATATGTTAACGTTATTCTGAATCATATCCATGCTTAGAATTGTGGAAGCCAGTCACAGGAGTCTTTCCCAACATAGATTTTGTCAACTAAATATTAAGCCCAAGACTGAAGAATCAGCTTCTGTTTGCTTTCAGTAAGTTAGTATTTAGATCAAACCACACAATCTCTCTATAGCAGCGGTCGCCAACCTTTTGGACCTCAGGGACCACCAAACTCATAATTTTTAACTCCCGGGGACCACTAATATGCATATTGACTGACGATGGCTTGCTGAAGTTGGGGGGGAGAGAGAGAGAGAGAGAGAGAGAGATGAACTAACCTCCCTCCCTCCCTCCCCCTCTCTCTCTCTTTCTCTCTCACACACACAGAGGCAGGGGTGGGATTCAAATTTAACAATCGGTTCTGTGGGCATGGCCTAATTTGTGGGTGTGGCTTGGTGGTCATGTGATTGGCTGGGCATAGCTTGTATGTAAATATTATAAATATTTATGTAAATACTGATTTTTTTTACAAAAAAAAGAGCAACTTTTACCCAAAATTAGGCAAAGCAGGCAGGCAGATTGAGTTGCTCACAGAATCACAGATTCGCTCACAGATCTATAATTCTGCCATCGGCTACCTGAGTGTGCACTGAATAATAGAAGCTTCAGGCCTAAGGAAGGTTCGGGTCTGAGCTGAAGATCTAAAGATTATCTAGAAAGCAAGAAATCCAATGATTTCCTGCTTTCTAGCTAATCTAAATCTCCCGGCACAGCAGAAGAGCTGATGGTTGGGGGGGGGGAAAAAAAAGGAAAAATAGCAACTTAGCAGACAAGTTTACCAGGTAAGGAGTAAGTGGGTAGGGAGGGTTCCCGCGGGCCATGTGGGCGGTGCAGCCTTGTATTCTGGCGCAGCCTGGATTAATTGCTTTGAGTGGGGGTCCTTTGGAGGTGACATTTCTCTGCAGCCCACCAAAATTTTCTCGCGGCCCACCAGTTGGCAACCACTGCTCTATAGGACAGAGCAATGAAAACAATAGCGGAAAACATATATGGAAGTCACAATTGGCAGCAGTAAGCCACGATACCTGGCCTTTTCCCCAATTCCCCCAAAATGCTATGCACAGCTGGGATGCATACTTTTTCAGGAGTTTGGTGGGGACAGTTTTGGAAACCATTTCAGCTGACGTCTTTAGTTCATTATTTGCTGGAAGCAGAATGGACAAAGAAGGGAGGAGACAAACATTCATACCGTTGTCTCATTTTGGAGAGAAAGGAATCTTCTGCCCACTGCCAGTTCTCATCTTTATTTATTTATTTATTTATTTTGGTGAAAAGAAACATGCATCAGCTAGATTTCACCATGCCTCTTATTTTCTGCAGGATCACAGACATGTCCAAGGCATCCATGGATAGCCGGCCTGAATCTGGCTATGAAAACATGGACCATTTCTCTATCAATGTAGATCACGTTGCTGAAATGCTGAGAACTATTGAATTTCAGACAGGTGAGAGCGGCTGGACAGAAACATTTTGCTGGAGTGAGGGGAGAGGATACATCCACTGCTGTTCCTCCATTTGGGTGCCATTCTCTTTAAGTTTTTCATTAACTTACACATTCCCTGTCTAAGAAGGAATTTGACACTGAGGAATTGAAACCCTAACTCTAACTCTGTATGGTGGAAAAGCCTGTATCTAAGGAAGGGGGCATTGCAATGAAAGGTATTTGAAGAGTGGAGGAAAAGGAACCCTTGTATTATTGGTGGATGGGGATAGATGGAATTATTTAGATTATCTCAAAGAGAATGACCCAAACCATTTTGAACTTGATTCAACAAAACCCCTCAGCCTTCTAAAGCAGAAATAGCATAAAATGACAAGACATTGTCTGGACCGTTCGGTAGGCATTTGAAAGCAAGACTTATGTGTAATCAGGTAATTCTGCAGACCCACAACGTTTATATAGTTTGGGGTTTGAAGGAAATAGATATTTGGCTCATGAGTGCAAAAATCAACAGCCACATCAACCCAATAAAGAATTCTGGGACTTGTTCAGACAACATACCTAAGTCAGCTAAAAGTCTAATGTCTATATTTGCACAGGATCTAAAACTAGCATATTATGCAAATCCAGAAAATGGATCAGTAACCAGGTGATACATGCAGTTTAAAGCCTTAATGCTGGTGTATTTGGGAAAAAATATAAAAAAGTTATTTTACTTTAAACTTTTTTTAAAATTTGCATCACAATCTCTTTTAAAAGTGAATTCCTGCATGTTGTGAAAGGATATTGAGCTAGATAGGATATTAATTTGGATAACAAATTTACATTAAGACTAAAGTTCTTTCTTTACTCAGAAAGATTAAAGGATTTGGTTTCCCTTTTGCTTTGTCTTCTGAAAAATGTACTTAGAACACGTATGACTTAGGAAGAAAATTATACAAAACCTATACAGTAATTATGCATTATGTGTGAGGAACTGAAGCATATTTTTGAAAGTTCTATCTACATAATGGAAGCATTCAGAAAGCATGTTGGAAAATGTGTGTTTAGAGATTCAAGATAGACGAATAACACAAAGTTGTCATTTTCACACATGCCTGCTTCCCTCTTAGATATTTCTGGAGAAGAAACTGAGTCTGAAGGAATTATCCCAGAAGGAAGTGTTGAAGCTGGAGAGGAAGACCATCCAGAAGGATCAGAGGGGCCTGAAGGAGCAGAAGGTGAGTTGAAAAGCTGAAATGAGAGATGGGTAGAGTTGTAATGAGTAGCTCTGCCTGGGGATGCATTGAGATTTTGCCACTGCAAGGCCTTGATTAGAAAGTCCAAATGATTTTTTTTCTTCCCACCTGTTCTGTTTGAGCCACAGTTTTCTTAGAAATGTCCTCATTATAAACTACTCAATATTAAGAACCTGCAGAAGAAAACATCCTCAGAAATTATTTTAATATATTTAGCTCACTTAAGCACAGTTGAGCTAATAGATTAAAATAATGCCTGAGGGATGGAAGTGAGGCCTTTTTTTGCCTGTGATTTTATAATCACAGTTCTGAGTACTTCTGTCCTTTCCTGTTGAGCTAACCTCAGCCTTAGCTGAGAAATGTAGAATGCTAGTGTCATGTATCTCTTTCTCTCCCTAGATGGAGAGAACCTGTCTCGATTCAGACCAAAGCCACCTAATATACCATCTCGGGGTGAGTCCTCCTTCTCCTGGACAATTTCTTTAATTGGCAGAGAATGAGAGGGCCAGGAGGAATATGAAAAGGAATCTTCAGGAATGAGTCCCAACAACCAGATGTTCTCTTGATGGGATGCTTACATAGAAAGTTTCTAGGGATGATCTGAATGGAATTTTCTGCCATGTGGTTGATTCTTTTGTGTACTTTACCTGGCACTGCTATAGAGAAGACAATAGCCTAGCTTCTTTTATCACAATCTTTTTCAATGACAGAAAAAAGGGTGAGGTAGAAACACAATGAAAAGAAATAACACCCATCAGCCAGAATTGAAGGAAGGGAATAGAGCAGGTTCTACTGTTTCCAAAGCAGCAGGGAAATAATTCTGCTTCCTAACCCAGAAAAAGTGGGCAGAATTCTGGTAACTTACAACTGTTGATCTTTGGCTATTTTGGATCTTCTTTCCTGCTTCTGAGGCTTTGGGGTTTCCCTGGCAAAATTTCTCCCAATGTTCATTCTCTTGTTCCCTCCCCCAACTCTTAGCTTTCCAAGGGTATAATGGAATTAAAAGAAGAGAATTTGTCACCAGGAAAGGATAGTGTGCCCGTTAGTGAGCTTTCCTGCTTTGACTGGGATATTCACAAGACCTGGATCATCTGGGGAGCAATCTGGCACGTTTTATTTCCCACTAGATGTGTATCTTATTTCTTCCACCAGGACAACACTGAAAAGTCACTTTGAAGACAGAAGCAGTTGGAGAATGTTCCGGTCAGCCCCATCCCATGCTTCTTCCCCCACTCCAGCAGACGTTTTTCTTGCTTCCCACTAAATTTTCTTTCTCTGTGCATCTTTTTCTTGCTTCCTTCTATGCTCTTTTTCTCCCTATACCATTTGGCTTTTTAATATATGGAGATAATAAAGTTGTGAGTTATTTTTGCTAACAGCAATTCTGGCAAGGTTCGTTGGGTGAGAGAGATTCTGTTGGATCCCTTTCTTTGGAGGAAAAATATGAGATTCATAGGCATGGTTGGTGAAATTTTCCATAGGGTGCTCATTCATAAATTTCTGCATTTATCCTTCACAGAGGCTACCTGTGTTAGTTCTTTACCCCCTACCAGAAGTGGGTGGGTGGGTTTAAACTACCAACACCAGCTTTTCCCCAACTCATCAAGGGCTGGCTAAAATGTTTTCTTGTGTTGGGAAAAAGAGAGTCAGCCATAGGCGCGGCTTTACCTTGGTTTAGAAACACTTCACTCTTAACCCTCCCATCCATCCTGGGTTAAGGAAGGGGTAACTTATTCCATCCTTTGAACTTGGATGAATCTAAATATTACTTTGACCAGTTGCAAATCTACACTGAGTGAGGAAAAGTGGCATCTCTACGTTTTGAGCACTGACTCTAGGCTGCATGTATTGGAGGTGGGAGGACAGAACTAGAAACAAAGAATTAGGACACCAGAAGAGGAACAAAATTCCTTGTCTAACTGGGCTGGAACTAAGGAAACAGTGATAGAGCATAAAAAACAAACAAACATAGGAAGAAGGAGCTGGCAATCTGCCAAAGGGAAAAAGACCTCATTTTGCTAGAGAAGTCCTTCTCTGCCTGAAATGTCTTCTACCTGGCTTTAGACAGAAGGAATTGGTGGGAAGGACCAACCTTGGAGCACAGGAGAATATCAAAAGTGGAACTCCCATCTTCTGTAGATATAATGTTAGTGAGATGAGTGGCCATTTACATTATTTACATTTAAACAACTAGGAAGGAAGTCTAATCTGCCTTCCTGACCTGCTGTTTTCAACTGATCAGAGGACCCTCCAACTAGGGAAAGGGCAAAAGGTTGCTCGTTGTTAGTATCAGCAACCAGCTCAACAGCACCAATGAAAAGAATGGTTTGGAAGGCGCTTACGCTTTTTAGCGGGTCCAGGCAGAGCCGCTGTCCATGGTGCTACAAAGGAGTCAAGGGAATTTGAGAAGGGAATTTGTGGAGAGGGAGGGTCAATGGGGAATTTAGACACCCCATATAGCTAGTATACATGGTGCTTCCCTCTCCCAGTCTAGCTGGCATGAAAATGCTCGATTCTAGCCTATATTCTGGGGTGCAATACAATGTTCTCTTAGATGGAAAAGTAGCCCAGTTCTGAAAGCATTTGGATTTTACTTGAGTTTAGCTTTGCTATGGATAGGACCAAGGTTGACCTGGAGAATCAATGATCCGATTCGGGCTTCCTTTTAACCTCAAGACCCAAGTTCTGTCTGCATTCCTGTAAAGCAGATTGAAATAGAGACACATCTGAAGATTTGTAGATCTGCGGAAATTTTGTTACCAAGACTAAGATTTTACTTTGCCCGATCAGCATTCCTTTATTTCTCCAAAGTTGATTAGCTTTTGGTAGAGTTGACTTACAGTACCAGGAGATTGATTAAACTTCAGAATACACACATAGTATGGCTCATTTAATTTTGGTTTGATTGACCGCTGGGTTTGCCATATTCGAACCCAGACGACTCCTTAACATCAGTTATGTAATGTGTGACCACAGAAAGTATGTTAATTCGGTAAATCAGTGTGAAGTAATGCCATGTAAACCCTTCTAGTGAACAGAAGAAGCTTCTTGGATGAGAAGCAAAACGTTTTCAAGGAAATGAACCGAGGAGGTCCAGTTGCTTTTTGGAAAAGCACCTTTGGGACCCTCTAGTGAATCCAAGAGTTTATATCAAGACGGCAAACCCTGACACCTCACAGCTCAAGTAGGGCCACCAGTGCAGCCCAGGACGCAACCTCACCCCTTCCCCACCCTAAATCAACAGCCCGCACTCGGAAACCGTTTGACGCCCAAGAAGTTTTATTTCAGAAAATAAATGTCTTCTGCGAAGGCGCCGGAGTTGAGGCAAGCGATGCCGAAGGAAGTGCGGGGCGATTGAGTTGCTGGATTGGCTCACAAAGGCGAGGTTCTCTTGCGCGCCCACGCTGACGGCTTCACTTGCCTACCGAGTCCAAGAGTTGACGGTTCAACTCTGCCTGGGCTTGCTGGCTCTGCGCCCGGGAGATCTCCATCATGTGGCGGAGGAGGTGGAAGGTGAGGTCGATCGAGAGCGGCGGCTCGTGGCGTTTGAGCCGGTCGCTCAGTTCGGCGAGGCGTCGACGCAGCTCTCCCTCCGGAGAGAGCCGGTGTAGAGATCGCAGCAACAGGCTCGCCACGTCTGGCTCGGGAACGGGTTGCAGTGGCTGGAGGGATCCGGCGCGGTTTTCCTCGGGGAACCGCAACCGCAGGCTCAGGTCGCTTTCTGCGCTGCCCTCGAGGTCGACCGCTGGTCTGGCTCCGAGGGACACTTGCAAGACCAGAAGGAGCAGCGAGGCCAGGAGGCTGGGCAGCTGCGCCCGCCTCATGCTGAGGCGGTCCGGGCCTGGGAAAGGAGACAGGGAGGTCTTGGAAAGAGCGAGACCCTGGTACTGTCAGCGACCTTCACCCCTAAAGTTGAGGAGAATCTGGGCAACCCGGCTAAGGTCTACTTGAGAGATGCTCTCCTAAGCAACCCGGACGGAGGACAACATCCCGAGGGCATCTCCGGTCCTCTCTTGGCGATCCAGTGCCAGTAGGGGGTGACACTGAGCTGGCAGTCGCGGCACCCGAAGGCTGGACTGGAGGATAGTCTTAGCCTCCGCATCTTTTTCTCTTCCCTCCCGCCCTCCCACTCCCGCCTCAGCTTCAGGTAGAAGGGAAGCAACTTACCGCGATGTGTCCTTGCGGAGCCGGGAAAAGGGTGCTCGGAGTCGCTGGCGGGTTCTTTATATATAGCAAGCTGGGAGATCCATTGACGTCAGTGAGGAACATGGACTGGTTGCTGATGGTGCGGGCGGTGTCCCCCATAGACCCTCTTGGTACCTGAGTCTGGGTGGGAGAAGGTGTCCTTGTGCTTTGTTACTGGGTGCCTGCTCCCCACCCTCCCTCCTCCGGATTATTTCAGCACTCCTGCAAGTCGTCTCAGAGTAAATCCACTCTTTGCAGTTCTAGTTTTTCTCACCTGCTTCCCAGGTCCTAAGACGCTGGTCCTAAGAATGCCGGAACGACTCTCAAGGCACTAATGCCAGGGAGACCAGCTGAGCCCCCTGAAAGCCTCTACATTCAAACATGCATGAATCTCAACCTTGGGTTGGTTGGGTTAGAAGATGCTGCCTCTATCACTTAAAACAAATTAATATTAGCAGAAGCTGTGATGAACTTCAAAACTGAAGCTGACATACAAGTAATTCTGATTAGTCTGAGAAAATCCCATAGGAAAGGATCAGGAAGTAATAGGTAGGAATGGAGGTGAACATGTCAGCTTTAACTGGTAATCTCTCCAGCATCTTCATAGAATAGACCAACCACAGCCCATACAAGAGAGGAAGATGTTGTGACTGGTAAGCAGATCTGAAGAACTGGGCAGACTTGGCCAGCCAGTTGAAATCTCTTGAGTGGCAGTAAGGAAGGAAAGGACAAGAGAACAAACACAAAAAAGACACCAAACTATGCCTGGAATTTTAATTATTTAATAAATGCATCATTTAATAAATACATATGACTATCCACTTGCCAATGTGACTCTGGGTAGCTAATAAAAAAAAACAGACATACAATCCAGCTGTCAAACCACTTCATGTTTCTTCAAAACAGACACATCTAACATCTCATCCAAAATTTATAGAGAAAAAAACAGTTTTTAATATCTTACAGAAGGTAAAAAGGATGGGGAGGGGAGATTATTTCAAGGAAAAGAACTACTATGGAAGATGTAGAACCATGACCTTGAGTTGCATCTTGCAGCTTATTAAGAGATATTGCACAAAATAATAATGTTAAATGGGCATATTGTGGTGTACACATCTGACCCACTGCATTCTGAATTAGTTTCTGGATACTCTTCTAGGGCAGCCCCATTTAAAGTGCATTACAGTAACTCAACCAGAAGGTACTAAGATCTGAATGATCAGGAGCAGAGACACCTGACCCAGGAGCTGACCCAGGAGCAGACACATCAACTAGCCATTATGTCTTAATACAATTGAGCAACAATATAATTTTTTGCTTGGAAGTTGGTTATACATGCACAACAATTATATTTGGTTAGGCTGTTTTGTGTGTGTGTTAAATCTGATAAGCTACCCAATTCTCTGATGTGATCTTGCAAGAGTAGCCTCCGTCCTGTTATAGAAACTGTCGGGTCCTGTACAACCCCCCCCCCCCACAACCCCCACTTATTATTTGGGGCTCTCTTCCATTGGCACACGGACGGCTTGATTTGGTACAGCGGCACGAAAGGACGATCCGAGCTACTCTCTACTTTCCCCACCCCGCTTCTCATTCATCTCCTCGTGCTACTTGGCCCCAATAGGAAGACAAACATCCGCTAGGGAATGCCATCCGCTGGGCAAACACCGGCCAGGTCCGCCACCGCGAAGCGAGGAAGCGGCGATGATTGGCTGGCGGGGCGGCCCTGCGGAGAAGCTCGACAGCGGGAGCGCGAGCGAGCGAGCCCTTTTCAGCCAGCGTCCGGTGCCCTGGCCCTGCGTAAATAGCGGGCATGAGAAAGGGCGCGCTAGTGACTTAAAAACTTCGGCTCTGTGAGGAGAGACGGAACTCTGCTGAGCAGCCTTTCCCCTCAGCCTCGGAGGGTAAAGCGGCTCTGGCAAGGCGGCGCAGCCTGGCACCCACCTACCCACCCCCAAATCAAACAAAAACCGAGAAGCGCTACTTTCTTCTGGACGCTAAAGCAGAAGAGCCCGGTTGTTTCATCCCGGAGTTGTTATGGAAGCAGAGGGGAACCATTCATTAAAATTCAAGAACATGGCGACGGCCTATTCCTCTCTTGCTGCGGCCAGGCAAAGCAGAGGGGCTGCCTGGGAGAGCTTCAAAATCTCCTCAGTGCTGGGTTGGGCAATTTCGTTTTAAATGCAGGCCCTCTAGAATTTTGGCCAGTTCAAGCACCATTAGTAGTTTGCAAAGAGGCAGTGTTTCGCCAGCAGCACAGAGATGGCTTTCCTTTATTACCCCCCAAATATAGGTAGTCCATTTAGTGACCGCTCAAAGTTACATCAACACTGTCAAAAGTGACTTAGACCGTTTTTCACACAATTGTTATAGCATCCCCATGGTCACATGATTTACATTTGGGTGCTTGACAAGTGACTCACATTTATGACAGTTGCAGTGTCCAGGAGTCATGTGATCCCCTTTTGCGATCTTCTGACAAGTGAAGTCAATGGTGATATCAAATTCACTTAACAATCATGTTATTAATTTAACTGCAGTGATTTACTTAATAAATGTGGCAAGAAAAGTCATAAAAATGAGACAAAGCTTAACACACTTCTCACTTTACAACATAACTTTTGGGCTCAATTGTGGTTCGTAAGTTGAGGACAACCATCAGTATTTCTCAATCGCAGCAACTTCAAAATCTGTGGGCTTCAACTCCCAGAATCCCCCAGCCTTCATGTCTGTCCATCTTGAAATTGCTGCGGTTGAGAAATACTGATCTATCAGAATGAAAAGTGAATGGCCCATTCACCATATGGTTTCCTCCATGCACCTGTCTTCATTCTTTTTAAAAGTCTGTTGTCAGCAGGATAGTAGCTTCCACACCAACAGTACATTAAATTAACTCATTCTGGACCAGTTTTGAATCTGTTGCACTGGATAATTAGGGGTGCATTTGTCATTATGCTACCAGTGCAAATGTACCAATTTGTCTTGATAACTTGGTGTTCTGGAGCTTGCAAGCATTCTTTGCTTCTTTAGAAACAGCAATATTCAGGGCTTACTAAATCTGACTTTACTGAAGTTCAAAGTGAAAGCATTTATGTTTATTCATTTGATTTATAATTTTTTGTACAGAAGCTCATGGTTGCATACATAATATTCCCTTATTTTTCCCCATAACCACAACCCTGATCAGTAGATTGGCTTGAATGAAAGTAACTGAACATCACTTAGTGAGCTTCCATGGCTGATGGCAGACTAGAATTGGGTCTCCTTGATCCTAGTCCAAAACCTTAACCACACCATATATGTATTCTACATGATTGCCTACTTTGTAAGAACTGATTCCAGTTGGATTGGACTAAGCATCCTATTTTCATAGTAATCATTTTGATTCTTTAGAATTAACCAGAACCTAAAAGTCAATCATTCTTATATGAAACTCATCAACAATGGACACTATCTTGGCTACAATTGTGGACCCTGGATCCTCCCTCGAGCTTTAATCTGTTCCTTGTCAGCCAAATGACTCTCTTGTGGTGTTATAACATCTATCCTATTGTCTAGGGCCAGTCTGCTTAAGTATTCACATTTATTTCTACTTAAGCCTTGTATGTTTAGTTGCGAAACATGGACCTGGGGTCCGTACTACAAATAAATCAACAATGGAAGCTTCCTGAGAGACCGGTTCAATATATAGCGATACCCTCTAGTTATCATGGCAAACTGCCATTAGTAGATCTCTCCTTGATCTATTTTCCAAATTCTTTCCAAAAATTAAGAAGAATTAAGTGTATCAGTTTGACCCCCACCCCCAGCATCCCAATATTTCAAAGGTGAGTTCAGCAATAGATCCCATGCTTTGCATTCAGGTGGCCTCAGATCTAGTTTTTGATATGCCAAAGCAAGGGCAGAAAAGTAGCCTTAAAACACTAAAAAGCCGCTACATAATTATTTGTAGTAATAGGCAAAATGGAACAAATGTCTCATTCCATGGCTCGGTTACACAGAGTGCTTGGTCTGGTTCTGAATTCTCCTGAGTTAAAATAATGCATTAACCCATAAACTAATTGAAGATTGGGTTACATGACACATTAGTTCTCATTTGGTCCCACACTTGGACTGGCAACTTGATCATTAAGCAAAGCAGTTGGTAGTAAAACTGCAATTGTAGTTATAACCTTACTTCGGCTTTCCTTTGCTTTATAGACCTGCGAAATTCATAAATGCAAGGATTGGTCGCAAAGTTACTTTTTCATCATGATTATAACTGCTAATGGTTACTGTATAAGGCAGTCATTAAATGAGAACTACCTGAAAAGTGAACAATAAAGCTTACTTATGCTAAGAGTATCCATTAGAGCCAAGTGCATCCTTGCTTGCAGGCATAAAAGAGCTTCTTACATTCCTAAAGAATAGTAAACATAGTTCAGAAAAATTAAAAGTTTCCCTACTAGGCCCTACCAAACACTCTACAGTCAAGTACCGGTACCTAGAAATTGCAGAATTTCCTGTGTTCCATAACACAGTATATCTTCAGTTCCGTCAGGCAGCTGTGATAGCTGGCCTGATTTTTTAACTGCTAATAGCAGAGTATGAAGAGCAGAATTGCCCAATTCTCCTTTTCAGGGACACTTGGGACACGAACCAGTTGCATATGCTGGTTGATTAGGCATCTTTGTAGTTGGTATATGGTATGCATCCTAGGTTGTTCATGTGTTCTGCATTGCATGAAGAACAGAGAGTAAAGAGGATCTGCAGGTGTTCTAATAGGATTAAGCATAGTTCTCATGTCTTCTTCCCATGCCAGGTTATAGTTTATTGGCTTTCCATGAAAGATAACTGTTCCAAATAATGGCAACACACTGGACCACGGGAAGTCTGGAGATGGAAAAAGAAGAAAAAGTCAAAGACAACAACATTGCCAATTATGGATTTGCGCATAGGCAGTGTCAGAAGTAAAGGAATTTAGGCAAGAAAGGCAGTTTATACCTGTAGTTCAAGGGGATGAAGTAGAAGTTGGCAACCTGCACTGCTGGCCAAATCTGAAAGACAGAGACATCACCATTAGAAATTTTTTTGATGAAGAGCAGCCACCACATCCGCTTCATCCCACCCACCAATAGGAAAGGAGAATCTGATGTTTGAAGCAACCATAACAGGACTGGTTCAGCTGAATGGCCAAGAAATTCTACAGGGTCTCTGGAAAATATGGAGAAAGTCTCTTCTTCTTCCATCAATTCGCCTAGACAATCTCTCTGCAAAACTATCCAGAGGAAAGCTGTCAAGTGCCAGCAAGGCCACTCACATAATAGTTGGTGATCAGGGCATCAGGGTAGTCCTGCAAGAAACAGAGGAGCGAAAGGTAGGTAGGGTTGCTGTACATGTCCAACTTTGAGGGATTTATACTAACTGTCCTGAAAGAGAAAAAAAATCCCAGGGAGGAGTTTTCTAAAGTTCTAGGATAGTTCTTCCTAAAGTTAAGTCTAAATCTGCCTCTCCAAACAGTCTAGTTTCTCACTGCCTGAGTTCACACACTGCATTACATTCACACTGTGTTAAGTTGGTTTTTTTTTTGTTGTTGCTCGTACAACATATAGACATGGTATGCTTTGGGTCCCATCAATAAAACTGTGTCATTTTATGGGATTCAGAATGTGCCTTCTCTTTTCATGGTGCATGCTCTCTGGAAAAAAGCATTTATCCTGAGATTCACATGTTTCCATCCTAACTGTACTCAGAGAAGCCTTTAAAATGTATTCTACCGCAGGCTTTGGGCCAGAATAGGTAATGGCCCTTTGTGGGATGTTTGGTGCCTTAAATTACATTGTCCCAAAGTTGTTTTTTTTCCATGAGGCAACTGGACTTTCTGGTTTTTCTTTGAAGATGTTTCGCTTCTCATCCAAAAAGCTTCTTCAGCTCCGACTGGATGGTGGGGAATGGAAGCTTCTTGAATGAGAAGCAAAACGCCTTCAAAGAAAAAACCAGAAAGTCCAGTTGACTCTTGAAAAAAAAAGTACCTTTGGGACAACCATGACCTGGATGTCTGAGAATCTGAATAGACACTTAAATTACATTGTTGTTTTTTTTCTGGACTTTTTCATTCTCAGATTATGTATAAAACATTTTTTATTTTACAGAATGAAATGGTCTATAAATGTCTTGAAGAAATAATCACTATGCATATGTGTTCACAATAACAATAACAAAACCCTTCCCACATGTCCACAAACCTCAATGGCTAGAGTGTCTACCTATCCCTTTTCCACCATCATCCAAAACATCTCAGATAATTTCCCGTGTGATTGGGAGTGAATTCAAGAAAGTAAAAGTAAGAGATGTATTGGGGGTAATTACTCTTTTTAGATCCTGCCTTGATTCAATATTTCTAAGCTGTAGGTGGTCTTTCTCAATCAGCTCTTTCCTTTCCCTCTAAGAATGGGTTCCATCAAACTTCCTGGCAATGTATTCTTCATGACTAATCATTGCTTAGCAAACACAGTGTTATTGTACATGCAAACATAAGACACGAGAATTCTTTGCTGAACAAGGAAGAGCAAACAGAAAGCATCTTGCTAAGGCATCGTCATAACATGCTGGAGATGCGTGGCCCCTTAACCAAACCGGCGCTAGGTGACTCAGCCACCCTGAGAGGGGCAGGCAGGCACCTCACATTGCAGAATATGACGGACCACTAACCAAAGAACAAAAGTAGACATTTAAAAAGCCATTCAAGAGTATGACAGAAGTTGGCATAGTTCAAAAGACAGAATCTTGTATCTGAGGCAGCCTTGTGGGGATTAAAGCTGCTATGGAAGCTGTGCATCTCTGCCTTTTTAAAATTTCTATCCATCAGATAAAAAGAATATTGTACATAAGTGATCTTTTTTTGTGTGGTGGTTAGTACATAGTGATTACTGGCAACAGTATTTTCTTAAATTCTCCAGAAATTTAAGAAAATTTTCAACGTATCATTGATAAAAACAAAAATATTTGTCTAACTTTCTGCTTCTACATAATAATGAAACAATTTTTAAGAATGAGAGGATAAAGATCATGAAGATATGAATATGTCACTATTGACTAGTAATGATTTGGAAATTCATAAAAGAGAAAGCAATTTGATGGCTGTAGAGGAAAATTAAATTGCTTGCTCTTCTATGAATTGAATTCAACAATTTAATCATGCTCTATGTTCATTAATAGTTCCTTTTGTCCATTTGAAATCTCCTCCATTCAATGACACAAGATGATAAAGTACTATATTATGAGAGAGTGAGAGAGCAAAAAAGCCTATCTGGTAGCCCAGATAGGGCTTCCTCTTCTTGCTTCTTGCACAAAATTTGTTTGTGTCTACTCTGCAAAACGTTAGGTGGTACTGTCTTTGGAAAGGAGATTGGCCTAGAGGAGGTTTTAAAAAAAATTGACAACTTCTAGCTGAAAAATTCTGTAAGTTGAAATCCACACATCTTGAAGTTGCAATGTTTGAAAAAAACACTGTCCTAGAGAATTTCTTCTATATTCCAGATCAAGAATATTTACCTGCTCTTGTAGCAAATTTAAGAGCAGCAGCTTTCTTTACTTTGACTTTGTGCTACTTTCAAAGAATCATTTGCACGGATGGCCAATCAATTCACTCAGCCAGAGTGAATACAGAATTACAGGGAGGATTAGTTTGTTACAAGTTCTTGGGAAGCCTAATCAAAAGTGACAATGAGACAACATTGTGGAATTGCAAAAAAGCTCTGCAAAAAGGACACTATGAAAACCAGATTTTTGCTCTTCACGGAGTCACTGAAAAATGTATGAATGTGAGAAAAATGCCTACTGTAGGTTAACTGATTTAGAGAAACTAAATAGGCTTGAATTATAGGTTTTGCACAAAAACATAGATGGTTGTTGCTAAATACATAAGTATATGTGAGTAAACCATGCATAAAAATACAGTTTATATGTTGCCTGGATATGGCATTTTGTTTATTTCTTTACCATATTGTATTGCTATTTATTTTATTGTCTTAGCATTTGTTGTGTTTTATTTTGTGACTCTGCCAGAGTTGGCCTGGAGTCTGGTTGTGCCAAAGTATTATGTATGCCTTGAACTGTGAGATGGGCGGCAAATAACTTTGATAAATAAACATATATGTATTAATAAATAAGTAAAACTATTCACTAAATACATTTGGCAAAAGATTAAGGTGTGTGATAACACCTTGGCTGGAATGTATTTACAGATATAGATAAATGTATAAGGAATGCTTGTATAAGATTAGATTACAGTATATTTTCTTTTCTTTCCTCTTACCTCCAGCCTTCAGTTTCTTTTGCACAATAATTCTTGCTCTTTTCCTGCACTTTGTATAATGCTGCCTATTTTGTAGTGGAACGGTGTGATGGATAAACTATTCATGTTTTTACACTGTTTCTTTAAAGCAAATTGGCTGAAGAAACGGTAGAGGTTTTAAACCCAGTAAGTAATGCTTCTTTTGCTTCTCTGAAATCTCCGTAACCACACATCTATCTTGATGCTAAATTTGGAACTTACCTTTTTGAGCTTGCTCCAGTTCTCTTTCAAGGATAGGCCGTTGAGTGTTCCCGCCACAGTCAGAAAACAGGCTAGGAAGCAGGGTGCAAATCCAACCTGTGTAAAATATAGATAGGAATGCAAGAGACATTCAGGAAAATAAGTGAAGTATTCTTGGGCATATGAAACAGAAAAGGAGTAGAAAAAAGATCTCTCGGTGTGGAAGATATAGATACCATGGGGTTCCAGTAGATCTTGGTCTTCCCCACCTAATACAACAAAACCAGAACCAGAATGATGATGATGGTTGAGAGCCTGCAGCTTAAATACTTGATGCGCAGCATTTAGTAAACAACATGCTAATGTAGGGGATGGAGCTATGTGTGCACGCATCAAGCAAGAAGGGAAATTCTGCAAAAGCTAAGTTGCAAAAATGTAGAAATTGTAATTTGGTCATGGTTTGCTCTTTCAATTCTCAAAAACTACAGAAAAAGAATTACAAGCAGTTAGGCAGCCATTTTTTGGAGGGAATGCTTGTATGCGCCCCTCCCACCACTTGAGTTCATGAGGGCTTTCCTAACCTGATCCAGAAGCATCTTCTGGAGTGCAGCCATTCTGGTTTTGCCTAGCACCAGACGATCCAGGACCTGGTACCATCTTCCAATGACTGGGCCCTGCAAAGGTTTGATGGATAGCCGTCAGAAATGATATTGAAGCAGCTTCTGCTCCCACCCTGAGCTTAAGTATCCGATTTCTGTTTTCCCTATGTCTCAGAAGAATCCACTTTATTGGCTCAAGGAATAGGTCTGGTCATAGCACGTATATCAAAACAGCTGGAGCTGATGTTTCCAACTGAGCTCTAAGATGACTGCCCCTCCCTCTCAGTACTCATAATTTCCACTTACCACAAAGCAAAAACCAATGCTCATCATTTTTAGGGTCCGCCAGCCACTGTGCCCAGACAGCCCTCTTCTTTCAATCATCTGCTGGGAAATCACATCTCCAGCACCCATGAGGGTCCCTATAACACAGCATTAATTCAATATTGATCCAATCAATATTCTGAATGCCAGAGACCCTTAAAGCTTAAAGTAATATCTTATTTCATTTTTTATGTCTGCTTGTTTGTGTGCATTTGTGTATGCTTTTGAATCAGTGTTGATTCCTGGCAACTGCCTGGCCAAGTTCCTGCAGTTTTTCTTGACAAGATTTTGGACATAGTTTATCATTGCCTCCTTCCTAGGGCTGAGAAGTGACTAGACCAGAGTCACTCAACTGGCCCTGGAGCCTCCACTACACTAAAGTGGATCATTGCACTAAATTGGCTCTGACTTTTCCTTTGTTTGTATTCTTTTTGCTGTCTTCTCATTTCATGTACTCTAATTCAACTAGCTGCTTCTTATTTGGGGAAACCATAATTTGCCAGTATCTTTCAACTTTCTAACCTGAATCCTAACAGAAGATTCCTAATAGTTCTCTTGTGAGTTCCTAACTATATTTTATTCTCCATTTTTCTAAGTCCCAGATTCTGCAGTCTTCTACACACAGCTGAATTCTTGTGCCTAAATAAGAAAATGGGATTGAATAGCTCAAGCAATTCTTTGACAGTCAGTTTGTACAGTTGTAGATTGGTAGGCAGGGGGAGTTTCGAGATCCTATCACAAAAAATGTGCAAGAGTATCTGATTAAAGCAACTCTCCTTTTGATTTACCTAAGAGACATTAAAAGGCTCTTGATAACACCCAGGACTAAATATGGGAAGCTACTCATTGCAGAAATTGAGACAACAATGAGTCCAAATCACGTCTTATTTTTTTTTTACTGAAGTCTAGTCTGGGGAAGGGGGCAGAGCAGTTGGTCCACTGACTTCCAAAAGTCTCTGCCAACAACTCTTGACGTCAAGCCTCCCTCCTTGGGTGAGACCTAGCCAGCTGGCAGAGAAATAAGCCACAATGCTTGGAAGAGCTGTCAGTCTCTCCTTCCCTTGGAACTGACTGAAAAGGTTCAGCAAGTGCTAAGAGTCAAGGGCAAAAGAGGAGATCCAGTTAGAGTAAGTACCACTTGTACAGAACCTGTCTCAGTTTCCTCTATGAGTTTCCAGACTCTCAGGAATCTGCCAAAAATACAAAGTGATTTCTTGGCTTTCCCGATGAATGTATCTATTTCAGTTACTGATCAGCTCCATTAAAAGTGAGCCATCACATTGCAGAAAAACAAACCCAGAGAAAAATTGTTAGGTGCTGGGATAATACTCAGAAAGCCTTGTCCAGAGGATGTAACACCATATGCAATTTATAACACACAAGGAAGTAACACCATGCATAAGTATGACTGAATACTATGAAACCATTAGAGACAGTCAGGGCAAGTTTCTTCCTACACAGTAGAAACATACGAGAAAGTGGAGCTAAGTTGAGGAAGAAGCCCTAAACTATTGGGTGAAAAAAAAAATGAAGACAAGGCAGATGCTGTGGAATTTGATTGTTGCTAGGAAACTAACAATTAGCCTTTCAAATACTGACCACATGAAGGACTAACTCTTGATATTTAAGATTCTCTTGTTCAGATGTGCAAATTTCCTTGGTTGAGCTATTCTTCCCAAAAGGATGGGAGCCAGTTTCTTTGTGCTAAAGTATCAGAAACATCACAGCGCTGGCTCAGCTTCTAACTCATTCATTGATAAATACACAGCTACTGGAAGCAAATGCACTTTCCCTGATCCATTCATTCATTCCTCTATACAAGGTGGGGGTGGCACCTGAATGATGCAGTTGGCAAGCCTGCTGAGTGTAATGGGATGAGTCTCTCTCAATGCCAGCTACATCACAGAGATTGACGACTCTCTCGGCGATGACTTCACCTACATGGAACTCTGGGGGGCTGCCAACTCTGCTTGCTAGTCACCCCTACAACAAACAGGCAGATTCCATTATACCTGATGGATGGCCCTGGGACGGAGTTGTCAGCAAGAAAAATCAGGGAGGGGAAAGATGCAGGAACAAGTACATAAGCATCAGCACAATGGTTCCAGAACTTGTTTAGTAAAAGCAAATCCACAATGACTGTGTATGTTCAAATTTAATGAAAATATGTAGTAAATTAAACATGCAAATTCAAAGCTAATCAGATCAGGAAAAGACCAAGCACATAGCTTTATAAAATGCTAATTTTTTAAGTTAATATTAACCCTGGTTACTTGTTTTTGCTTAGCATACTGTGTGAAATCAGTTCACTGGTTAGTTTATAGTTTAGTAGTGAATTGTACAAAATGGATTAATTCATTAACCAGGTTTGCATGCACGTAGCCACTGAGGACTCAACAAGTACAATAAATGAGTATTGAGGACTGACCCTGCTTTGTAAGGAACTCTGTATCTATCCCAAAAGTGCTTTCCTTCAAAGGGCAACTGGACTGTCTTTCTTTTTTTCTCTGAAAACATTTCACTTCTCATTTAAGAAGTTTCTTCATTCTAAGTAACTGGTGGGGGAATGGAAATTGATTTATATTTTTTGAAGTCATCCAGTTATGAGCATTCTGAGAGTTGTTGAGGCCACTTGGGGGTTCAGGGTTACCTGAATCAGAGTGCAAACAGATATGGAACTTTCTTGGGACTGCTGAAAGGACTGTGTTGTAAACAGGAGATGGGTGGTATTGTATCATTCCCCCTCTGTTGAGGGAGGGCTGTTCAATTTTAATATAGATGGCCTCTATAACTCCTCTTTCAAACTAGTGGTCTTCACTCTCCAGAATATGAACCTTGAGCTTGGTCTTTAGATGCTGAATTATGAAAGTCTCTGAAAAATTATCCATATTAGAGATATTTCTCTCAGTTCCAGTGTTCTGTTAGGAGTAGTGAGGGATTTTGCAAGGATTTTGTAATGAAGAACAGCATCCTTGACATAGGTCAAAGCCATTTATGCAATGTACTATAGAAATGTGGCCTCCCAAAAGGCATCAGAAATTCTTTCAATAGACAAACCCTAATGATCCAGCAATTTTCATTTTCTGTGTTCATACAATACATGCAACCATAAACTAATAAAGAATGATCAGCCTATAAAGCACAGCATGTGAAAGAGAGTGCTAAAACTAACCAAGCCTTTCATGCTATTTACAAAAAAACTGCTAGGATTTAAAAGACCAGATTAAGTACATTCTTAGAAACAATCAGCAAAATCTTAACACCAGTCTTTCAGAAGCCACAATTAATTCCTCTTGGGTTCATTTAGTTTCAAGTTTGTAAGATAATCTTAAAAATAATTATAATTTTTCTTTAGCAAATGGCTGAAGTAGTAGTAACAAAATGACTCCTCAGAGGAGTGGCAGGAAATCAATGTAATAATTAGAAAACCCTCCTCAATTTCAAGATCCTAATTTCCAAGTTTCAGACCCTGCCAATCTTTAAACTCTGGATAAGCATGAAGTGAGATTCCATCCTTAGAAAAGGCTGAGAAAAACCATCTAGGTTTCTGCAATAGCAGTGTCTTTTTCCTGGCTCTTCATAATTTGTGAGCCTTTTCTATATTTTGCAGTAGATGTGTTTAGATGAATTGTGAAAATTGTTTATTTTATTGGCTTACAATTTTAAGGATTTTATTTGCCTGTTATGATATTATGTTTGTGATCCCAGTTTATTGACATAATGGTTAAATATATACCAGTTGCTGTTTTTTGTATTGTGATTGCATGCTTTTCTTTTTAGCAATTGTTAAATCACTTATGTGTATTATGCCAAAGGTGCTTATTTTCAAAACCGGACTGTTTTGTCCCTGAAGACATTTTGCTTCTTGGATGAGACATGGGGCAACCATGACCTGGATGACTGAAAACCTCCACAGACATTATGTGTTTTATGTAACTTATTTTATTTAGTAAGAAAGACATTCCAAAACTGAATATAAATGTAGAAACTAACAAAAAGGTTGCTTATGCTGCTGCCACTCTCTAGAAGACAGACGTATACAAACTTTTCAGTTGATACATTAGAGGAGCATTTATGTATGTTAGATTGTTGCTGTGAGAACCACCACAAAAGGAAGTGGCTGTGACCAACCAGTGGTAGTAAACAACCACTGGGGAAAAAGGAAGCCAGAAAGCAGCCAGAGAAGGAAGCACCCTATTCCTTTTCCAGGGCTAATGTGCCTTAGCTCCTCTTACCAGCTGTGAAGATTTGCACCTTCCAGGGGTGCTGGACCATCAGTCTCTGGTAGGTTCTCCAAAAGGTTGCCATGTCACCTATCACAGTTTCTGTGATACAGAGAAGTAAAAAATACATTGAAGCACAAATCATGCCCAAAAGCGCATTATGTTTAGAAGCAGTACCATTCTGTACAGTACTGCAGTGAAGAAATATTAGATGATCAAAATACAGTAATGGCCTGTAAAAAGTTGCCTCTTTTTTTCCAGAAGGCCATATATACTTCATAGAGGTACATTGTTGGAGCTGTTAAAAATGACATTGGAACTAATGAACACAACCAGTGACACAGGACCCAAGCAGACACCAAACAGCTTCTTTCTGGATTCTTCCCTGAGTATGACATTTGTTATGACTCAAATGGCTCTGTCCAACTCCAGGATTCTACGAAATACTTCTCTTACGCCTATAACGCCTTGCTGTGTGATTTGCATTTATCTAAGTTACACTAGTTCAAATATTCCGACTGTCTGCACTTTCCATACATTAAATGTGTCTAAACAGCACAATTATCATGCCTGCATACATAAAGTGTTATTCTTTTTCAGGAAGCGCGTTGATGGCATGTGTATCTTCCTGGGAATAATAATATATTTATTAGAAAATAAATTACCATAGGAAAAGACAATTATGATATGCAACATCTGACCAACCCTGTCACTGATGCTCCATCGGGCTTGCCTCGTAACTCAGCTCTGCCTTTGCAGGCCGTCAAACAGGCTTTACCAATAGAAGAGACTATTTGTAGCTTAGAGTAGTACTGTTGCTCTCGGAGCTTGGTTGTTTTCTTGCCGATGTTTCACTATCCAACTAGGTACCTAGTTACTAGTTCTCAGGAAGCGTGTGGATCGTATGTTGGTACTAGGTGGGTAGTTGGGTAGTGAAACATCGGCCAGAAAACAAACTCCGAAAGCACCAAGGACCCCCACAAACAGGCTTTTAAAAAAAGCATCTCACGCCGTTCTTATTTTAATACATTTAACCGGAACATGCCAACCAGGATGCCTTTTTCTGTGCACACTCGCCTCTTCTAATTTCCCTTCCAATTTCATTACGCCTCTGAGAAAGTTAACCCATCACAAGGCAGACTACAAACCCACTCGACGGCTAAGCAAAAAGGAAAAAAAAATCCACACCTTGCAAAAGCAGCCGCCTTCCGGGCTTTGAATATTCCCAGTATGGGCAGGCACGTGGCTCCACCGACCTCAAGGCAGCAAGAGATGACGCACAACGTTCCTGAAGCGCCTATTGGTAGAAAGAAACAGAGGGGCGGAGGGAAGGAAATACGCGCCTCCCAACCCGAGTAGAACTACGAATTAAAGAGAGGATTCGTTTGGGGGCTTCACCGCAACTGAAGAGCTTCTCTATCTCATCCAGGTCATAGTTTTATTATTATTATTATTATTATTATTATTATTATTATTATTATTATT